GCCCTTATTAAGAGCTACAATTGGACAAAAGATTCATGTCAATAGCTTCACTGGTTGTCAAAATATGACCCTTTGAATTATTTGAAAATCAAATTCCCATGCATACCCCTTTGGAAAAATTCGAATTTTAAAATTTTATGGATTTTGCAATTTTTGACTTCACCAATAGAAAGAAGAGGTTAAAATTAGTAGAAAAGCATTTTTAGAACTTTCCTTTTCGGGTTCTAAACCCTTGTTAAAAAATAAAAACGATTTTTGCAATTTTTAGGCTCAAAAAAAGTTTAATAATCTGATACATATTCTTTCACAAAATTGCTCATTACTCGGTTATTATTGTAACAAATATGATCTAAAATTATATATTCTGAATCAGAATTAAATTATCTTCAAGATAAAATAAGATTCAATTCTATATTTTGAATACTTGTGAAGATATTGAGGCTCAAAGTTGAAACTTTACCTCAAATTTTGCAAAAGCTTCCAGCCGGATTATCTTGAAAACGAAGCCCTTGGGCTCGGAGTCTTAAATAACCTTTTTTGTAGCCCTTATTAAGAGCTACAATTGGACAAAAGATTCATGTCAATAGCTTCACTGGTTGTCAAAATATGACCCTTTGAATTATTTGAAAATCAAATTCCCATGCATACCCCTTTGGAAAAATTCGAATTTTAAAATTTTATGGATTTTGCAATTTTTGACTTCACCAATAGAAAGAAGAGGTTAAAATTAGTAGAAAAGCATTTTTAGAACTTTCCTTTTCGGGTTCTAAACCCTTGTTAAAAAATAAAAACGATTTTTGCAATTTTTAGGCTCAAAAAAAGTTTAATAATCTGATACATATTCTTTCACAAAATTGCTCATTACTCGGTTATTATTGTAACAAATATGATCTAAAATTATATATTCTGAATCAGAATTAAATTATCTTCAAGATAAAATAAGATTCAATTCTATATTTTGAATACTTGTGAAGATATTGAGGCTCAAAGTTGAAACTTTACCTCAAATTTTGCAAAAGCTTCCAGCCGGATTATCTTGAAAACGAAGTCCTTGGGCTCGGAGTCTTAGTCCGGTATTCATAGTGCCTACTTGAGTGCTGAGGATTCCTTAAAGGTGACCTTGACAATAAATTGTCTTGCAGAGTCAAAATTGTGAAGGCGTCCTTATCGCCGCTCATGCGAATTTTGGCACATTTCCTTCCTTGACTTGAGGAATGTCTAGAGGTCCCTTGAGACTGGTGGTGCAAAGTTTATTATAAGTATTGTAGTTAGTATGGACGAGCTGGAAAATTTATTTGTAGAGATAAATGTCGCTGATGCTGATAACCGCGTGTGGCTAAATTCAGCTGGTATAGGCACCGTAGTGGAATGAGAAAAAGCAGTTTTAAATTAAATCAGGCATTAGCTTGCATTAGTGAGTTGATAAATCACTGCATTTTGGTGAATTTAGCCACACGCGGATTGTGCTGCGGAGGCCAAGAAGGTACATTGAAGAAGTAGTCCATTTCTCAAAGTGGAGTTGAAATTCAATTCCAAAAGAATACACAAAGTCTTCCTCCACAAAATACTTTGATCATGTTAAAGCGCTCTACATATTTCAAGGCGAGAAGTCCTTTTCTTCAGGCGCAAATTCGCTCACATAGAGGCTCACATTTTACAAAGTACAAAGTATTTTAGGTCGCTAGACTTCGCATTTGGCAGAGGAAAAAGAAACAGAAAGTTGAAACATTCAAAAGTTAAGACATTAAAAAAGACAGATAGAAAAAAAACATCAAAAAATTAATAGATTAATTGTATACCTATACATACTTACAGGGTGTAAAAAAAATAGTGTACCGGACTTCGAGGGGTAATACTACATATGAAAATAAGAAAAAGAGTTCCTATGAACATGCCCTAAGATGCTTCCTGAAGAAGTTACAGCCCTTCGAACGGTAGATGAAAATAATACATTTTATTTATTTTCACGAATATTGCATTAGTGGCAAATTATTTTCCTTGAAATTTTGTATTCTCGCATACATTTTGATATACCAAAGCGAATGGTGATAGTAAAAAAAGTCGTGACAGTTCTGCAAGGGTAGTTTCTATTAGGGTAGAGGGTAGTTTACTCACAAACCAAAAAAGCATCTTAGGGCATATTATGTTCATAGGCCCTTTTTTCATTATTTTCAGAGGTAGTATCACCCCTCGAAGTCCGGTACCTACAGTATTTTTTTTACACTCTGTATAATTTTCGTTTTCTTTAATTTTTAATAATAATTGACTTGGCTACGTAATATCATTTTTATTTTGTCAATTATTATTCTTATATCGCGAAGCAACTTGATGGTTGTGGGTTATCTAGAAAATGGTCAAGGAAATACAATTTTCATCCCAGGCAACCTGTTTGCCCTATAATAATGGGTTTATTTGGACTCAATTCAGAATAATTTGTTTATTTATGTTCTTCAGAACTGATTCTGAACTAAGTCCGAACAAACAATATGGCGTCTATTTATTTATTTTCAACTAGAAAGTGTTCTTCAAAATCTGGGTATATTAAAATAGGGTTAGAGATTAGGGCGTTTTTGAGCTTGCTAGATGACGTTTTGCATTCGGAATCAAAATTGAATTCTACGTCCTTTTATAAGAGTTTTGTGAGAGGTTTGGATATTTTTGCGAAATTTGAATTTGGAATGAATCAGCGGTAATATCCAGCAAGTCCAAGGAATAATTGTATGTCCTTTTGGTTTTTTGGTTCTGGAAAATGACAGATGCAATCTACTTTAGAGGAATTTGGTTTCACACCATCCTTGGTAACAAGATGGCCAAGGTATGCTACTTCTTTGCGCAGAAATTCGCATTTGTCTGGTTGGATTTTGAGATTTGCTTTTCGAAGACATTTGAACATTTCTTTGAGTCTATGTGCCTATGTGGATGGTAGGTGAATAAATGATGATGTCGTCCATGTAGACCAGACATCTTTCATTTTGAATGCCTAAGAGAATATTGTCCATGACGCGCTGTTATGTGGACGGGGCATTCTTCAACCCAAATGGCATACGAACGAATTCATAGTGGCCATTTTCTACTGGAAAGGCGGTCTTTGAAATATCAGTTGGTTCGATTTCGATTTGGTGGAAACTAGATGCAAGATCAAGGGTCGAGAAATACTGCTGAGCTCCCATCTGAACCGAGAACATTTTCTCAGTCTCAGTGTACTTGATCGCCATAATTATTTGCACATAAATTTCGCAGACAAATCACTATTTCTTCAACTATCTGACCTTTTTCGCATAGAACCTATTTATTAATAATGAGAACTTAATGACAATAACAATAGATATTTCGTAGAAACCGTTGTTGCCAGTTGCAAAGCTTAAGGCAAGGCTTCCTTCAATAAAGATTCTTCAATTCGCTACTATGAAACGCCAAAGTCGCATAACACGAAGGCGTCCTTATTCAAGGCAACCTTCAAGTAACAAGGGGTCCTTAATTTGAGATGTGACTGAGAATACGGGCCTTAAATAACCTTTTTTGTAGCCCTTATTAAGAGCTACAATTGGACAAAAGATTCATGTCAATAGCTTCACTGGTTGTCAAAATATGGCCCTTTGAATTATTTGAAAATCAAATTCCCATGCATACCCCTTTGGAAAAATTCGAATTTTAAAATTTTATGGATTTTGCAATTTTTGACTTTACCAATCGAAAGAAGAGGTTAAAATTAGTAGAAAAGCATTTTCAGAACTTTCCTTTTTGGGTTTTAAAGCCTTGTTAAAAAATAAAAACGATTTTTGCAATTTTTGGGCTCAAAAAAAGTTCAATAATCTGATATTCTTTCACAAAATTGCTCATTACTCGGTTATTTTTGTAACAAATATAATCTAAAATTACATATTCTGAATCAGAATTAAATTATCTTCAAGATAAAATAAGATTCAATTCTATATTTTGAATACTTGTGAAGATATTGAGGCTCAAAGTTGAAACTTTACTTCAAATTTTGCAAAAGCTTCCAGCCGGATTATCTTGAAAACGAAGCCCTTGGGCTCGGAGTCTTAAATAACCTTTTTTGTAGCCCTTATTAAGAGCTACAATTGGACAAAAGATTCATGTCAATAGCTTCACTGGTTGTCAAAATATGGCCCTTTGAATTATTTCAAAAAAAATCAAATTCCCATGCATACATACCCCTTTGGAAAAATTCGAATTTTAAAATTTTATGGATTTTGCAATTTTTGACTTCACCAATCGAAAGAAGAGGTTAAAATTAGTAGAAAAGCATTTTTAGAACTTTCCTTTTTGGGTTCTAAACCCTTGTTAAAAAATAAAAACGATTTTTGCAATTTTTGGGCTCAAAAAAAGTTCAATAATCTGATATTCTTTCACAAAGTTGCTGATTACTCGATTATTATTGTAACAAATACAATGTAAAATTATATATTCTGAATCAGAATTACATTATCTTCAAGATAAAATAAGACTCAATTCTATATCTTAAATATTTCTGAAGATATTGAGGCTCAAAGTTGAAACTTTACCTCAAATTTTGTAAAAGCTTCTTAGGCGGATTATCTTGAAAACGAAGCCCTTGGGCTCGAAGTCTTGAATAACCTTTTTTGAAGCTCTTATTGAGAGCTACAATTGCCAGAGTCCTAGCTAGAACCCGAAAATGAAAATAGAGATAAAAAGTCAAAAAAGTTGACAGAAACTTTTTCTGATAATTTTTCTTGGAATCTGATAATTTTGTTCTTAAATCCTGATAATTTTAAATTTGACATCTGACAACACTGGCTAGAAGTGGTCTTTTGCATCGATAACATTAGATTTTATCTCATGCGCTCCGGAAAATAAATATTTATGCAATTTTTCCAAATTCTGCGGTAACTCCGAAAATACCAAGTACTGACCCATGGCGAGTTTTAGCTTGAAATATAGGCCATATTATTGCATGTTAAAATATTTGTACTGAAACCTGATATACTTTGTACTATACAAAAAAAAAAAAACAACATTAATTTTTATAAAATCCTATATTATACAGCTTAAACCTTATACAATTATTATAATACACAAAATTTAATTATTATAATATTAATTCTAATGATACATATCTTCAAAAAGACAAATCAATGAACATATTCTTCCGGGTCACAAACAGTTTCGGTATCGGTATCATCTTGAGCATCCAACCAAGAAATGTTGTTTTTAGAAAATGCAAAGTCTTGCCAGTGACTGGTCTCATCAGACGCCAACACTTTTGACTTCTCCAATAGTGATTCGTAATTGTGAATTATATCTTCGTTTTCTGAGTCATCTGACTCATAGTTGCTGTTGAAGACAATGTTATTGGTCTCAAGGGAAATTGCGTTGCAATTGTTGCTTTTAATCAATGCTATTTTGTAGTTCATTTCATTATTGGGTGTCAATAAAATGTTGGTTTCTGTTAATGGTGGAAATTGCACCAAACTATCTAAATTGTAGTTTTGGTTTTTCCAATGCACCGCCATCGACTTTTTTTTGAAAATCCTGTAGGCATTTGGCGTGAGATTTATCAGCCAAGTCCTGTTCCACCTGTAAGGAGGATTGTAATGTAGACTTTCCCACGTTATCCATAGCCAATCCAGGTTCCGGATGTTTTCGTTCAAAGAGTGCACGTTGGTTTTAGACGCTGGATCCATCATCACTTGGAGGATGTATTTTCTTTTCTTTTTTATCGCGTCTTTTACTCGGTTGCAGTTTCGCGTGATTGCTGGACCGGCTGTGTAGTAGTGGACGCATTCGCCAGCATCTCCCATTACTGGCCATTCTTCGTAGAGGGCTTCTGGTTCTTCAGCCATTTCGCTGGAAAAATATAAAATAATTGTTTAGGTATATAGGGCAAGTACACGATCTGACAGTTTGAAACTATTGACAGTCGCCTTGAGGTAAAACAAAGGCCACGTTCACCAGATACAAACGTTGGTAAACGGTTTGCGATTGTTCTGCTGAACGCTACGTTGAATTTATGTTGAAACCAAACATGTTTTGCAAACGGTCGCCATTTTTGCAAGCATAATTTCAGTGTTTATAATTTTCAACACTGTGTTTTGTGTGGTGACCTGTCATTCAGAGGGTGACGTTCTATTATTGAAAAGTTAAATCGTTCAGCAGAACCAAGAGTTTACCTAACGTATTATGTTGGTATTTGTGAACTGTTCACAATCCGTTTTGGTTCTGGTGAACGTAGCCATTGATATAATTTACAGGTTTTTTTAAATAAATACCTTTTGTGTGATCCAGAAGTTTCTTGGACATGCCTAGAGATTGTTTAGTTGTTAATTGTGGCAGTATAGCACAAGGGATACAATACCCTTCCATAAGTTTCCATCAATTTTAAATAACAATGGGAGGTTTGAGTTGTTAGCTCAAGAAACAAGAGAAAAATTGATTAACGTTATTAAAAGAGAAAATCAGATAGAAAAATAGATTGAATATAGAGTTACTATACTTATATATTTGTTCTTGTGACACTTGGTTTTGATATTTGTTGGAAAAAAACTCAATTTAATTCATTATAGAAAAACCTAGCAAACTTCTGGATAAAAGACCACATAGACTGGAACATAAACACTTTAGTTTAACTTTTTTAAAACACAAAAACTTGTAAAAAAAGCTGTGAAAACCGCATAAAACATAACCGGCCTAATCTACACCCATGTAAATAAATGATTTGTTTTACCTCAGGGCGACTGTCAAAACTCATTTGTGACGTCACATGGACATGTCCTATACACACACTTTTGTCCATTTGACAACCCAGTTTTTAAAATATCGAGAACTATTCCAACTTACCTCAAATTGTAATACACAACACTTTAAACTCTCAAATCGAAGCTCAACTTCTAAATAAATCTGATCTTTGTTGGTTGGTACGTTTTATACAAATTTTGCTAGCCCTTTAACGGATTAAAATCTTTTAACTTAAATCCAAGAATGATTAACTTTATTGCAGTTTTACCTGATTTTCTAATAAACAACCTTTGGCAAATTTAAATAATAAATTGGGGTATTTCCAAAAGGAAAGAGGCTTAAACGTAAACTTTATTTGGATTTTAAAATCATCCCATCAGGCTAAAATTAATACCTACCTCTGATTGCACTTCCTAGTAAAACGTTGAAATAAAGCTTGTGTGAATTACGTGACAACTTAACTGTAGATAGAGAATACAAATAAGTACCGTGCCTATATAAAGTTCCATTATTTAGCCACGTATTTATCCATGGGATGTCTAAATATTATGTTTCAGCTTCAAAAATAAATAATTTTGTCTCTAATTATTTATTAGTAAACGATAGATGAATAATTGAAACAGAAAACAATGGATAATAGATTACAGGAGAATATTTCTAAGGTAGGCTGTAAAAAAGATATTAAATTTTTTTCTAGCCTCTTCTATAATCCTTTTTGTTAAAGAACCGACAACCGATAAGTCTAAAAGCCATTTTGATGTCTTTTTTTAACTATCGACCATCAAATAAGGGATTACTATCCATTTTAGAATCAAATCCGGGGTGTAAAATGGGTATTAACGAAACCCAAAACGAAATATGATTCGGAATTAGTCCCTCTGAAAAAAAAAATCTCGAAGACTTTAATGAATCTTCCAGTAGTCAAAAAAATATGAGAAATAGAAGAAAAAAATGTAAAAAAAATTGGCTGATAAGAGGAATAAATAAAATTAATGGTTTTTCATTTAGCAAAAGCTACAAGATAACAAATTATTGATACAAAATTTTTATTACAATATTTCTGAGTATTTAAAATATCAACAAGAGTTAGCATAATAATAATAATCACGAAAACAATGTAAAAGCTGACAAACAAAAACAAAAAAAATCAATAATTAGACACTATATAAATTCTCTTATACCTACCAATTTTTCCTTTATTTTAAATATAAATAAACATATGTACAGTAAAAACTTAACTTTTTGTTTCACTGACAAGATATTGGAGTACATCTATCATTGTTTGTATTGGAGTATATAACGGTCACATCCCAACATTGATCACATGGCCCTATTCAGAATAATTTGTATTTGTTCAATTTTATAATTTGATAGATTAAACAAAATTGTTGAACAAAATTCTAGATGTGAAGCAGCAATGCTATTATATAACAAAAATCTTGTACCAAGTGACAATGAATGGCCCACCCTTGACCAAAAGTCAGCTTTTTTTAAAAAAAAAATCATGACGTAGTCAGCATGAGACTGAAAGGTCAAATATGAATACAAAAGTATTTAATTTCTTTTACAAATCCCAATTTCTTAGCATTTGTACTAATAGCCACATTATCCATATTGATTGACATTATTCATTCTTGATTTCTCACCAAATACGGAAAATTTTGATTTATCAACATTAATACAAAGGTTATTATCACAGAGTCAGATGTAGGTATAACTTATTTAATTCACTATTCATAACTTGTTGCATTTGGTTACAAATCTTTGCCAACAATATACAGCATTGTATCGTCTGCAAATAATACCATTTTACTTTCATTCACCACATTACATATATCATTAATATACAGTAAAAACAAGTGGACCTAGAACAGTTCTCTGTGGTACTCCATATGTTACAGGCCTTTTTCCAGATATGCTATTTTAAAATTTAACAGACTGAACTCTATTAGATAAATATGATGTAAACCAATTCAAAACAGTACCTCCTATTCCTATATTCTTTAATTTATGCAACAATATTTCTCTATTTATTACAGTTTCAAAAGCTCTCTTAAAATCTGGGAAAACGGCCAACACAATATTTTCATAATCAATGGCCTTTGAAAAATTGTCAGATATACTTACAACAACAGATTCACACGAATGTTTTGCACGAAAACCCGATTGATTAGTAACTATTTAATATTTGGTGATTATCACAGTAGAGTTGTTCTCTGACAACCAGTTCGAGTAGTTTTTTCAGAAACAGGAACAGTATTTATGGACCTAAATTCTTTATGTGTCTGTATTGATCACTTTGGGAACAGGTACACAAGTGACTCTTTCCACGATTCAGGAAACACGCCAGTCATGAGAGAAGCATTTAATCACTTTCAGTAATGTATCACCAATGACGTAACATGCTTCACCAAGTACCTGCTTGGAAATTCCGCTTTCTCCACCTCCAACCCATACTTATTTTCATTTATGACACCATGAAAGTATGTTTCTTTTTGTATTCTAATTTGGTTGACAACTGCATTCTTTGTAATAACAGTTCTCTTATACAATGCATCTCGGTCCCTCATCATCTCTCTAATAAGTAATCCAATGCTTATCGACATAGTTTTGTTTAATAAGTATTTTTGTTCTGAGGCACATGTCATCGAAAACTCCCATGATTTCTTCCACCAAGGTTGTTGTCAGCATATTCACATCAACCAAACCATTATTCCATGTAGTATTAATTAGATTTTCTTGGAACTTTTGCACATCGTAGCTTCATAATGGTCTCGTCTAAACAGTAACATCACTGCTTTTGGTTGAAATGTGTTCAATATTCATAGACAAAATGGAATGGTCACCAATCTTTGGTATTTGGTGCACCTGGTGCTTAATATTATCATACCACAAGAGAAAAAATTTTGCTGGCAAAATTTTCGACTGGTATGAAAGTTTGTTGCTTGGCAATTTCGCGAATGACATTTTTGTCAAAAATTTCATGAGCGAAATTACCAAAAAGCAACAAACTTGAATAAAACCAAGAGAATAATTTTGCCTACATAATTTTTTCTTGAGTGGTATTCGGCTGGACTATTTCAAGCCAAATTTCCATTTGGAAAATTAATTTTTTTAGGTGACACTTGTCAAACTCAATAGACCTATCTCCTATTACCTACTGCGCGCGTCGCTTGTAGGCTGCAGGTGAGCGTCCAATGAGAAGCAGTTTGTGACAGGCTTGCGTCATATTCTTATTCAGGGGCCAGTTCAGAATGAATTGTTCCTTCTTTCTTTGTAACGTGTAATCTGACAAAGAGCAAACTAATTCTTTACATATTACTTGAACTCACCGCAGTTTCGTTTAAGATTATACTTGACATATTCCTTTGCAATTTCATTGAGCGATGTTGCCGGAGGAAACATTTATCAAAATAAAAGTGCAAACGATGTTCATCCACTTTAAAACTCTTCTTTTGTCTGATATAAGGCATTGTAAAATACTTGACACTATATCACTTCTTTTATGTTATAATATTCGATTTGTATTGTCTACATTTATTCTGCAACAATACAATCTGGCTACACTGCAGCCTACGAGTTGCGCGCGCATGTCATCTTTTATTGCTTTCTAACTTGTATTTATTACAATTAAGCTCTCTTTTTCTAATCATGCGAGATAGGTCTATTAGACTATCCAAAACACGTGACACAAATATGGCCGACAAGAGGCACACAAACATTTGACACAAACAAAACCATAACGTCATTAGGTTATGTCATTAATGATCATAATCAAATACTCATTTTCTATTGTGTGCGTCTCAATTTTTGGCCGTTTCTACCCAATTACGGAATCCCTATTGTTTGGGCAAGATTGCTTTACCTTCATTTCACTTGGACACCTAGGACTACCCTTAAAATGCGAAAATATTTATTTGTTGCAACTCCACCGTCCAGTGTTGTGCTACCTACTTCAAATAATGGATACAGGAACATCTACAGAAAGACGATGAAACAGGCAAGGAAGATTTATTATAATGAGAGGTTGGGCATCCGCATCCAATAAACAAAAAGAGTAACGACCTACGTGAAAAAAAATAAGAAATATACATATTTATGTGCATCCAATTTGAAAGCAGATAATATTAATTCATACTACTGTACGATTGCTCAGAAACTGAGTATCAAAAATAGAAAATCTTCTGGATGGGACGATATCTCAGTTAGGCTGTTGATATGTTGGCGGATTCCATTATTAATTCTTTTCTTACCGGAAGTTTTCCCTCATTTTTGAAGCAATCTTGGGTAGTACCTTTGTTTAATAGGGGGGTGATAAGAATTTACCATCTTATTACCGGCCAATATCCTTACTGCCAACTTTGACTAAAATTTTAGAGTAGCTAATTAAGGTGGATGGTGAGCTTCCTTGATAGGCATAAATTGCTTTCTCTGTCTCTGTTTCAGCAGTCAAAAAACATTGATGATGCCATATTTCCTCTCCTGGATGAGCTGTATTAGAAGATAAATGACGAAGAAGTGGCCGCGGTAGTTTTTTGTGACCTGAAAAAAGCTTTCGATTGTGTCTGTCATGAAGTACTGCTTCTAGGGGTTCAGTACTTCA